TTTAATCTCCTTAATTAAATTAATGAAGAACTTCTTTTAGCATTTCTGGAAGGGTTGGTATCCCGGCAACAGACTCACTTTTTTTTTTTTTTTTTTAATCTGGAACAGTCTTAGTTTCTCCATTATTGTTAGATAATTTACCAGATGTAGAATTCTTGGTTGCTGTTTCTTTTCTTTCAGCACGTTTTATGTCATCCCATTGCCTTCTGGCCTTCACGGTTTCTGATGAAAAACTAATTTTATTGAAGACCCTGTTTATGTGCTGATTGTTCTCTTGATGCTGTGGACTAAGTAAAGGCCAATGGACTGCGATTCATGGTTACAGCAGAGTAGTTGGATCAGAAAAGCAGTGCTAGGTTGAAGGAGTCAGGTTGGATACTTATTTAAAAACATTGTCAGTTTTAAAACTTGACACTGTATTGGCATTATTACTTTGAAAGACATGTTTTGTGCATTTATTCTACCTTTTTTTAGCCCAAATTTTTGTTAGTGTTTGTAGTTTATAGGTTATCTGTTTAATATTTTATTTCCAACAAATGCTATATTTAGTTCTTAATGTTCCTTTTCCTGCAGAAGGTTTGAAGTCTCAAGTTGCTCGGCACAGTCTGAACTATATACAGGAAATAGGAAATGGCTGGTTTGGAAAGGTAAAATGTTATCTACTTTCATTTTTCCTTCATAGTGGTACTGTTTGCAATTAAAAGCTAGTTAAGAATTATACGGTGGGACAGCCCACATTCACTCCAAGCACTGTAGTTCTCACTGAGTTTCCCCATCACCTGCTGGTGAAGCCAGATGGGAATGTGGGCTTTAACATTACCATATAAGTTTGTTCAAGGAATTTCTTATATTTACATATAGAGACTTTTAAATTGTTGGCATGAGAATAGTAAGAGGTGAAAAGAGACATGGAATATTAGAAGTCTAAAGTTAAATTATATTTTACTCCTTGTCCCCTGGCCCTTTTTCTCTTCCTGCTTCCCCTTATGGCCACACTGGAATTGTTGATAAATAGTCCTGTTATAATGAAAACCATCACAAAGGTTCAAAGGTTCAAGCTGTCCAGGACGAGAGTAGGAGTTGTGGTAGGGACAGGATGGTAGAAAAGTGGAATTATTCATGAAAACTGTGCACTTGTTAAGAGTGTTGAAGTAGGTGAGCTGAAAGTAAAAGGAGTGGTAAAGAAAGAGACGTGAAAAGCCGAGGTTTTGGGCATTATAACATTAATTACTAGCTGAGTCCAGGTCCATGGGAGTATTTGCTGAGATAGAGTTGTAGAAGATGTTATTGGAAAAGAAGCCAAAGGATGGAAAGTTGAAGGTGTTGAATGAATTATCTCTGCAGATGATGAACTCTGAGATGACAACAGTGGTGATGGTAGAGAGGGGTCATGAACCAGGTTGCCACAGTTAGTCCGCTATAATCTTTCGCATTTTTTTTTTTTTAAAGATTTATTTATTTATTCATACAGAACTGGGGTACAGGCCAGAGGCTCAGGGGTGGTGAGAGGCTTCACCAGAGACAGAGTGGGGAGCAGAACAGGCAGATCTATGAAGTACACTGCTGAGGGAAGCAGCGGGCGTGTCAGGAGAGGTCTGGCTCACCATGTGGTCTCCGGGGCAGGCGGCAGGCGGGAATCGAACTCATGCGGAAGTGGCTTCAGATTCTCAGTGCTGTGCTTTAACCCGCTGCGCCACCAGGGAGGGCCTCTTTCGCGTTTTTTAAGTTGATATTTGATACCTTGTGATTATTAAATGGCTTACTGTATATGGATAAGCTGGCTGTTTGAAACAAAGAATACAACTTACTAGAATTTTTTAATCTGTTCTTTTTGTTGTTGTCCTTATAGTCCTAATAGGCACAATTGAGTTCTGTTCTTAGTCAATTTCCAGGGCACTAAAATTAATCTGTTTTAGAAAAAATATAAAAACTAGTTTAAATTATTGTATTTTGAAGTGCCTTTGCATTGTCCTATGTTATATTTAATATTTCACCTGTTGTTTGCTCTTATATCAGGTAGCTGATTCTCATTTTGTATACTGTTAATTTCTGTGGAATATTTTTTCCTGTGTGTTTTTTTTTTTTAATTTTTTTTTAAAGATTTATTTATGCATACAGAACTGGGGTACAGGCCAGAGATGTGGAGGGTGAGAGGCTTCACCAGAGACAGAGTGGGGAGCAGAACAGGCAGATCGACGAAGTACACTGCTGAGGGGAGCAGCGGGCGGGTCAGGAGAGGTCTGCCGCGCCATGTGGTCACCTCCGGGGCAGGCGGGAGTCGAACTCATGCGGAAGCCGTCTTAGATTCTCAGTGCTGTGCTTTAACCCGCTGCGCCACCAGGGAGGGCCTTTTCCTGTGTGTTTTAACTGAAATTTTAGTACTGGCATAATTAGAATGCCATAAATTTTTAGAATTTTTAATAACTAAACTTTTTTTTTTAAGTGAGTTTATTTGTACATATTTTGTCAGTTTACTTTCTCGTATCTAGGGGACAAAATAACACAACTCAGCTAAGTGTTTCTGAGAAACATTTGTTTTGGGAAACTCAAGCCTTTTGAATTAAGTCTGAATTGAACTTACACATTGCTCTTCTATAACGTCATTGTGAATTTCCATGAAAGTATAAAATATTTTTAAATAAATAGAAACGATATGTGTATGTGTATTTGAACGTTGTAATGCCTTAAAATGGCCCTTTTACTAAAGGAAAAGTATTTTGAGTTTTCTAAGCTTTTTGTGAGGCAGGTTGTAGAATAATAGAAGGTTATCTGCTTTTGTTGCCTCATTTGTTTTCTAGATTCCATTTCCTTATAAATGAATAATACTGCTTTCTTTAGTGTTTTGGTGAAAGTGAGGTGAAAAACTGTGCTTTGCTTTTAGGTTCTCCTTGGAGAAATTTACACAGGCACTAGTGTAGCAAGAGTAATAGTGAAGGAGTTAAAAGCAAGTGCAAACCCAAAGGAACAAGACACCTTTTTGAAGAATGGAGAACCTTACTAGTGAGTAAACCTTCATTTCTGTCTGTGGCCTGTTGAAAATCCTTGATTAAAACTTATTTGGGATTTCCTCTTGTAAAATACATGATGTAAATAAAAGTCAGAGTTGGGTAATTTAAGACCTGAAGTGTCCAGGTTTCAAACAAAATAATTCATCATTCCAAGAACTCTGAAAACTGAAATAGAAAAAGTTAATCCTTCCTCCCCCACTCACACCTCCCTCTCCTACCTTCTAGCCTGCACACCATCCTACCATGCTCACCACCTCACAAACACTCTAACATGCCACTTGCTGAAATCAGCTTATACTGGTTCCCAACTATCTCTAGATCAGGTCCAGAATTCCCCATGTTACAGGGGGGAAAAAAACCCAAAACAGATACTAATACCAAGATGACAAAGGTTAGAATTATCTAACATGAGCTTTTATTTTATTTTCATATATCCCTGGGTGGGCATGAATGAGAAGAATTTTCAAGTATCATAAAAATACTTCAGTGAAAATTAAAATACAGCACCCTTGAAACAGACAAATATATACAGAGTTTCAGCAAACAAATAGAAGACATAAAGAAAACTTAAATGGAAATTTTCAAACTGAAAAATTTAATAACCAAAATAAAAAACTTCAGTGAATGAGTTCAGCAGACTGGTACATGTATACCATCCACTATTGCTCAGCAATAAAAAGGAACAAACTATTGATACATATAACAATTTGGATGATCTCAGGGGTAATAAGTGGAAAAATCAATCAGAAAGGACCATATACAGCGTAATCCCATTGATCTAATTTCAAAATGAGATTATTTACGTAATTTCTAATGAGAACATTAGAGAAATGGAAAACAGTAATGTTACTCGGGCTTAGGCATGATGGGAGTGGGTGACAGGGAGGTGTATTGACCAGAAAAGGGGGAGCATGGGGAGATCTTAGTGACGACGGGCTAGTTCTGTGGGGCTGATGATTGCGTGAATCTGTGCAGGTGACACCAGGACGCAGAGGTGTTACACTCACTGCATCCTGGTGTGGGTGCCCTGGTTTGCCCTACAGCTGTGCTAGACGTGACCAGCAGGAGAAGCTGGTTAGGAGCACGTCGGCCTCCTTACACTGTCTTTGCAGCTTCCTCGTAGTGCATAGTTGTTTCAAAGTTAAGTTTTTGTAAATGAAAAACTATTTTGGCATGTACGTTCTTTTCTACTTTATTTTTGATAAAATATTTTCTGAAAAGTGTTAGCATACCGTGGAAATGTATGGAAGTCATATACAAGCTAGATAGCCCAAAGGAATAACTGAGACATTGGTAGATGAAATCATGTGCTTATTGAACGTACTTCTTTTAAGTGCCATTCCAAAATGATGTCTATTAATTACTGAAGTTAAACATTCTTGTTTTTATGTTGTGAAATTGTTTGCCTGATGGATTTTAATTTTTAGTGATTGGATAAGTTAGTATATGAATGATAAATATTAATAGTAATGTGCTCTTTTTATTTTGTTGTATTTAAATCATTATTAATGTTAAAATTTGGACGCCTGTTTGAATAATTTTACTCGTATGCTCCCAGATGAAAAATATTATGCTTTTTTTTTTTTTTTAACTAGTATTCTTCAGCATCCAAATATTCTTCAGTGTGTTGGACAGTGTGTTGAAGCAATTCCTTATCTTCTGGTGTTTGAGTTCTGTGACTTGGTAAGTTTTTATTAGAAATTGAAGTTCAAGCTTTCAGAAAGCTATGCCGAATGAGTCTTTTCAAACATGTTTTCATTTGAAGGACTTTATGACATATTAATACATTTTCTTTGATAATAGTTTTTTTTAACTTGTTTTTTTTTCTACTCCATCCCCATGATAAGCTAGATACATTTAAGCATATTTGTCTACACTTATGATTAAAATTAGATGTGCAGAGATTAACAAAATGCTGTAATCAGATTATATGGCAGTGCCAGAGCTTAGACTTATGCTTGCCTTTCCTGAGAGCTTAAGGTCATAACTTCAGTGAAGCATTTGGAAATACTTTCTCCGTGGAAAGTCCTTACCTATAGAGTACCCTTGCTCTAATCAGATTTTTAAAATAGTGATTATGACATTTGTATTCTTAATTAGAGGACTTATTTCTTAGCCTAAAATTAATACCTTGTTTCTCAATATTATTCGTGGAGATTTACAGTTGGAAAGATTGTTCTTTGTGCAAGTGTCTATTTATGAACAGATAAGCAAAATGTGGTCTGTCCACAGAGTGGAATATTATTCAGCGTTAGAAAGGAAGGAAATGCTGGTACATGCTACAGTATGAAATGAACCCTGAGGATATTATGTTAAGTGAAATGGACCAGTCATAAAAAGACAGATATATGATTCTACTTTATGAGATAGTTACAGCAGTCAGAGACTGAATGTACAGTGGTGGTTGCTAAGGACTGGGGGGAGGTAGCTTTTAATGGTGTGGAGTTCCAGTTTGGATGATAGCTGCACAACAGTGTGGATGTATTTAACACTGCTAAACTGTACACTTAGAACTGGTTACAATGGCCATTGTGTGTTAGATGTTCTTTACCTCAATGAAAAAACCATTGATAATTACCTACTGGCAATTAAGGTGTTATGCTATAGTGATGGCTATAGAAAAAGACCAGCTAAGTAGAGAGGCATCATTCAAGGTCCAGAGGCCCAAGGCCAGTCACCCAAGATTACTAATTGTATCACAGTGAGAGGATGACTGCCCCCACATTTTTAGTTGGTTGGGAGCTATCGAATGAACATCACCTTTCAGTCATCAGCAGTGATCATGCTCGTAGATAGCATCTTATAAGTGGAAGGGAGAGAATTTGTTTAAGTAGTTCCATATAAGATAGAATTATCAGTCTGTTTTGAACAGTACTTAATCGTAGTTTTATGAAAGGAGATGGAAACTCTGAGTGAGTTTGGTAGCAGTACTGTGACTTGTGATGCTAGTGGTGTAGGTGTCTGAACTGAGTTGACGGATCCCTGCAGGGTGTTGCATAGAACTTACTGCCAAGGTGGTGCTTAGTGTTAATATCAAGTCAATGAGATTGGTTTTGGTTAAGGATCGCTTGTTTAACATAAAAATGTATGTGCACCTGTTAAGTACAAAGATATATACTAGTGTTCTGAAGAGGGCAGAGGTGAGTAATGCCATCCCCAGCTTTTCTGCCTGTAGAGCCAGATGGTCTGCCCTCTGCCCTTACTCAACTTTGTTCCTTGCTTATGTCTCATCTTGGAAAATTACCTCATTTCCTTAAGTCTCATTTGAGCTGTCAGTAAAGCAGGGAAATAATGCCTGAATAAGATGATGAATATAAATTCTGAGCACATATAAATGCTTAGTAATGCCTAAGTGTTCAGAAAGTGGTAATTATTTTCATTACGTTAATCACAATTATCAAATGAAGGTTAGAGTAGTATAAATAAAGCAGGTCCTCAAGTATCATCGTGGCTCAGTATTGTTTCCTTATAATATTAATGAGAGAAGACCAAAACTCCGATCCATATTAAATGATATGGTGTTATTTGAGGCCCTGTTTTCGTTGAATATTGTTTCAGTGAGAATAAAAGTTTATAGGAATGTATGTGAGCCTGGTGAATGAGGACTAACTGCACAGAGATTTTCATTAGGATTACTCAGGAAGACTTTGCAAAGGAAGTGGTATTTGATTCAGGTGTTTGAAGAGTGGTTGGGTGGGCTTTCTTCAGGCAGAAAAGGAGAGTAGAACAGCAAGGCAGGTAGGGAAACCCAATAGCATGTGTATGTGGGGGGGGCAACAACACATGACCCAGTGGGGGTGGGGAGTGGGTGGGTGCAAGGTCAGTCAGAAGAGTGAATAGCTGAGAGATCACTGGAGATCAGGCTATACGCTGAGGCGATGGAGGGAAGCATGTAGATTAAACTTTATTCTCAATCTTTTCTCAAGAATCAGCAGCCCCATTGTCACCTGACTTGGAAGCAAGAGATGATGATACTTTGTTTGCAAGATGCATTCTTAAATGGAGCGTACAGCTTTCCTTTGTGATGTTCAGTTGATAAGACAGTGACTGATTTCTGAAAGAAATTAGCAGTGATAAAAATCATGAAGAGTCAGTAAGGTTTAGGATAGTGGGCTCTTGATGCTGGAAGGCACCTTGGCTGCTACCCATGAAGGAGAGTAAGGAGGGGAAGGCTCGAGCCTCTCTGTTCCAGGCCTTGTGCAGGGTGTCTGATATGTGTTAACTCATTTAATGAGTTTTCTTGAGAACCCTATGAGTTAGGTGTCAGTGACTTCATTGCAGATTAGAAAACTGAGACTGAGAGGTAAAGGGAGTCATTGAAGAATTAGCCCAGGTCTTTGACTTCCTGCCCATTCTTTCTTTGTCCAATGAATTGACTTGCCCTTAAATGACAGTTGATTGCTTGAGACTGGGGACTAAGGCCTGGGGCCTTTCCTCTATGGAGTCTTCATGTTTCCCTCATGTCTGTGGATTTTCTCTAGGGACCCTGGTCTGCTTCCACGTTGTAAAGATGTCATGTGAGGTTCATTGTTCCCAGGTAAATGTGGGGGTGTGTTCCCTGCAGTCAAGGACATCCTGTCCAGGATTGGTGCTCACCTTGTCCCTGAGCTGCCAGAAGAGATTCCAGTCACCCTTGATCCAAAACTGGAATAAATGGGTTAGAAAAGGAAAGAATGAATTAATATAAATGATTGTTGTATATTAGAAGTATTTGGAGCCCTTATTTAGAAGTTTGATGATGTTTTTGTGGCCAGAAATATGCTGGAGGACCATAACTCCTGTCTATTTCATTCTCTGGTAAATTTGGTTTCATTGATTATTTCATTTAAAATCATAGTTTTCAAAGAACATACCAAGGAATTGCTGTACTCTTACAGTGATTTAATACTTACATATTTTTTTCCACTAGTGAAAAGCCTCCATTTTAGAGTTAACCTTTTGTACAGAAAATGCCTAATTGAGGCCCTCTCTGGTGGTGCAGTGGATTAAAGCACAGCACTGTGAAGCTATCACAGCCACTGCAGCACGAGTTCGATCCCCGGCCAGGGTGCTGACCCACATGACGTGGCAGACCTCTCCTGACCCACCTACTGCTCCCCTCAGCAGTGTTTTTCAGTACATCTGCATGTTCTGTTCCCCACTCTGTCTCTGGTGAATCCTCTCACCCTGTACCTCTGGCCCACCCCAGTTCTGTATGCATAAATAAATAAATCTTTAAAAAAAAAAAAAAGAAAATGCCTAATTGATGGCATGTCATCTTTACAAATGTATTGGTTAAACCCATGCACCAGAGCCCCTTTAGGATTAGGCATGGGCTTGTGTAGAAAGAGAAGACGACATGAATTACAGTGGAACAGAAGTGCTTGTGAGCAGTGGGCCCTGACTCAGCCAGATGCTTATGCTGCAGGAGGAAGATTATGGTTATCAGGCTTGATGAGAGTGGGGTAGGCTGGCTGCATGAAAAAGGTACTTGCTCTGGCCTGAGGTGCCATACCCTGGCTCTTTGCTTTATCCCCTGGCCCACTGTGATAAGGCCCTTCCTAGTCCCTGGTGCTTGCTTCTCCCACTTTGCTTTCCTGGGGTTGGTTACTTCTTGGCATTGCTCCGACTGCTCTGTATTTCTCTCCTGTCACTGTAGGTATGGGTCATTACTGCTAGAGCCTCCAGATCAAACCTGGAGTTGGTGCTCAGGGCCTGCATGCGGTGAGAACAGTGTGCAGCCCCAGTGTGCTAGGAGCTGACTAGGAGCCTGCCACTGTCTATAACTGCACTTTCCAGGACAATAGCTCCAGGCACAGGTGGCTACTGAGCACTGAAAGCATGGCTGTTCTAAATTATTATGCTATGAAGTTTACAATGCATATCAGATCTGAGGACTTTAGTGCCAAAAAATTAAATATCTTAATTTTAAAATGTTGATTATGTGTCAGTATGGTACTATTTTGGACACACTGGGTTACATACATGCATTATTAAAGTTGCCATGTTTCGTATTATGACTTTGCTATTGCTGCTAAAAATTTTAAAAATAAATATGTGGCTTGCATTATATCTCTGTTGGCTAGTGTTTGTCTCTAATGTACCTGGGGAATGCATTGCATCTAAGTGACAATGTGCTGAAGGAGATTTTTTTAGTCTTCTAGATTCCCTATTCTTGAAGTAGAAGCTATTGCATTTGCTGATTACAGAGATAAAACTTACAAAGGAATCACTTAGGTTTTACTTAAAGTAAAACATTTTTCTTTGTTAACTGTCTTTGGTTAGCTTTAATACGCAAAGTAATGAAATACTAAAATTAATTAGAGGCCCAATAAAATTTTGACATTACACACTTACTGTTGTAAGACCACTAAATTAAAATATGATGAAACTACGTTGGAAAAAAAATGGTTGTCCAAACTTTAATTTGAGGCATCATTTAGATTGTCTCAGTAAGTTTTTCTTTTTTTTTTCTCCCACTCACTAAGCACTTACTTGTCAAACTTTGCTGTCTAGGTTCTAGGGGTGCATTTAAAAAGTAGACAGAGGCTCAGTCTTATACAACTTGGTTTCTAGTTGGAGAGGCAGCGGGTAAACAAATGAAATGCCAGGTAGGGTCCAGGTAGGATTCTAAGCAGTGGAGTGTCTTGATTTGATTCATGTTTTTTAAAAATCCACTTTGGCTGCTCTGAGGAGAAGCCTAAAGGCCATATAGGAGCTCCTGGTTAACCCACATAAGATAGGGTGGTGTCTGGGAGTTGCATAGCCACTATGGTATCAGTGAAAGTAAGTCTGATTCTGAATTTAGAGATCCAGGACTCAATATGAGTTAGATGTGGGAGTGTAGAGAGAGAAAACTCAAGAAGTAACTAACATCTGTTGTTTTGGTCAGAGCCACTGGGAAAATAATTTCTTGATGCCTCCTGAGAAAGAATGGATTGGTTTGAGCTGCCTGTTAAGAGCTTCCAGGAAGGGTATCAAATCAGCATTTGTCAGATGAGTCTGGGGAGTTCAGGCCAGAGAAATCTGAGTGATGGAATTTCCATCACTGAAGTTAAATAAAATTGCCGGGGAATGCGTGTCACTGTGTGACAAGGACCAAGGACAGAGCCCAAGTGTCTCAGCACTTACCCATCCAGAAGAAGAGGATGATCAGCAAAGTGGGGGGGACCTTAGATCCAGGAGACTGGTGGAGAAGGAAGGAGTGGGGCCATCACCTCGTGAGGCTCATCAGGTGCATTTGACATCAGTGATGGCCCTGTGGGGAAGCAGCAGCAGCAGACATGGGTTCCTGAGAGTGGGAGGCTGAGGAGGACCAGGCAGAACAGTCCAGGCTTTTGAGTTTATGTGTGAAGAAGAGAAGAGGAGATGGGATGGTAGTGGGAGAGGAGTGGTGTGGAAACAGAGGGAGCTGGTTTGGTTTTTTGTTGGATTTACTTGGGAGGTATTTCAGCATGAGAGCGGGGGGGGGGTGAGCTTAATGAAGTAAGACTCATAGTAATAGAAGAAAATGTGTAAAGACGTAAGTATCAATGTGGGGAGCTCAAGCGGTGATGAGAATATTAGACATAGAACTTGTGGGAGTTAAACAACCCGGCTGGGAGGAAGGGTAATGGGACAGGCTACACAGGGAAGTTCTGCCTATGTGACTTACAATTTTTTCAACCTGTCTTTTTTTAAAGATTTACTTACTTATGCATACAAGAACTGGGGTACAGGCCAGAGCTGTGGGGTGGGGAGTGAGAGGATTCACCAGAAATAGAGTGGGGAGCAGAACAGGTGGATCTACTGAAATACACTGATGAGGGGAGCATCGGGCAAGGCAGAAGAGTTTGGCTGCACTGTGTGGGTCAGCTCCCTGGCTGGCTGGAGAGTGAACTCCTGCTGCAGTGGCTGTGGATAGCTTCATAATGTTACGCTTTAACCCCTTGCGCCATCAGGGAGGCCCCTCTTTTACACTTTTATTCAAATTTTTGTTTAAAAATTCAGATTTCCCCCCAGATCATCCTATTAAACATCAGTGAGTAGCTTTTCAGTTACAAAGCTGCTTACTTGTTTTGTCTTTATATAAAATCAATTCACTGCTCTCAGTGTCCTGCAAAAAAGCTGGATAAGACTCTCATGTTGGAATTTGAGAAGAGACCTGTTAATAAACCCATTTAAAGGGCTTAGATAACCCATTCTTAACGAGTTTCCAAGTTGCTGGTCTGTTCGGAGTTTCTAGTATAGCAGTTTGCTGCCATCTAGTGTCATCAGTTTTTCTTGTTACGTTTTTTGGATGGCATGGGGAAGATCTGAGAAATTGTTGAGACTTGAATAAAGGATTATTGTAATTCAGAATACATTGTTGGGCTTCATTGGTGGTTTAGGGGTTAAGTCTCAGTTCTGTTACCCTGAGGCCTGGGTTTGACCCCTGGCCAGGAAGTTAACCCACATGGTCAGCAGACCCCTGCTATCTTTCCTGCTGCTCCCCACTTTGTCTCTGGTGACTCTAATCCCCGCCTCCCCACCTCTGGCCTACACCCAATTCTATGCAAAAAATAAAAAATTTTAAAAGTGCTAATAATAGATTAGAGGCTTTGGAAATGAGCTCTAAATACGCATGCCCCTCCTCCATGCCTCTGAAATGGATAAACAATTCTTGAACATACATATTTGCATGATTATCTGAATATTTTCTCAGACTGAATTTCTAGAAGTAAAACCATTGAGACAATCAGAATACATTGTTATTTTTGTTTTCTTTTTCTTTAAATAATGGACCAAAGAAATAATTCCTGTGTACTAAGTACCATTAATACATGAATAGGTCAGATAGCCAAATATGGCTTTGTCTGCATTTGAATTTCTTTTAATGCTTTCTTATATAAACAGTAATATGAACTTTTTTTGCTGATTTTTCTTTTAAACTATGATACCAGGAACAGAATTCTAGAAACTGACCTTTCTAGAACATAACCCTGGTTCCTATGCAATCCTTTAAGTCTCATCCACAAGAAATGACTAGGGTCCTAAGTAATCATTGACGACACGTCTCCAGGGTTAGAGATGTATCTGCTTCAGTTGCGCACTTTCATCTCATTGAAGATGGGGAGTGGACTCTGGTTTTTGCCAACCTAGAAATTTAGGACATTAACAGTCTTAAGCAAAATCCCTTTCTGTTTTTGTTTATTCTATTTTATCTTCTAATGGAACTTAAAGAGTGAAATATTTGGAGAAGAGCTATTTTAAGAAGTGTACGTAAGCTTTAGAATATGCTTTAGATAACCTTGAAAAGAAACCCACACCCAGTCTCATTTCTCTGCCTTCACGGCCAAAGTCACTTGTGGAAGAATGTTCATGGTGTGCCAGCAGCTTCTTGTGTTCAGAACTGGCAAGATGCAGCACAGTATGCTCCTACTATTGTGTGAGTAATTTTTCTTTAGATGGATATTGCAGGAAAGGGGTTGGGCAAGTGGATTGAAGTTATTGTTGTTTCTTTGGTAATGTAAGCTAATTATTTTTAGATTCAGTTTCCAAATGGGCTACCTTATGAAAATCTCATTAGCCAGTAGGCCTGGAACCTTTTGCTGGGATTTTTCTTGGTTAATGTAATTGTCATACAAATATTTCTTGATTCCCACCATCCCCATGTTGGAACTGAGCCTGTGGGAGAGGTGGGTTGAGGTGGAGAGGGACATATATATTTAAAAGGGAAAAAAAAATGTCTGTTTCTGATTTAGGTGGACAGTGGGAACAAAAGGAGAAAACACCATGTTTGGAAAGAAATAAGACAATAGTGATGGGCAGGGGGAGGAGGTGGTGGTCACAGGTTGATCTTGAGGGAACAGTTACTGTCCTGGCAGAGAGGGAGGCTTCATTGCTTTTGGGAGAATCCTGCAAGTCCTGTAGTTCTGTCATGTTTGTATAGGTCATTCTTTTTTTTTTTACTTTTTATTTTTGCATGGAAGAACTGGGGTACAGGCCAGAGGTGTAGGGGGTGAGAGGATTCACCAGAGACAGAATGGGGAGCAGAACAGGTGGATCTGCTGAAATACACTGCGAGACAGGGCCGTGAGCCCTGTGGGTCAGCTCCTGGCTGGGGAATGAATTTGTGCTGCAGTGGCTGGTGATAGCTTGATAGCACTGTCTTTAACCCCTGTGCTACCAGAGAGGACCCTATAGTTCATTATTATAAAACCAATCGATCTGATCATCATACTAGTTTAATTCAGTTGCTAAATAGAATTTTCTTAACAAATTTGTAAATTGAAGAGAAGTGTAGTACTAGCATTTAACAGCACTGTGGTCTTGGGCAAATTTCTTAACCTCCCTACACTCCATCCCACATCTGGAAAAGGTTTTTGAGGTAAAATTTTTTGAGGTAACCAGTGTGAAAACCTTTAGCATAATGCTTGGCATGCTGCTGAGAGGCTCATGGGAGTGATTATTAGCATTAGCATTATCCTTTCATATAAAGAACACTGAATCTGGGAATGAGAACAAACTTAGATTCTTGGAGCAACCCTATAAGTTATGTTAGAATAAACTTAGATTTAAATGTGAACAGATGTTGGCAAAGGAATATTCTAAATTTTATTCTTTGAAGAATTTGATAAAATTGTCATCTGGTAACAGTTCAGAACTGTAGTATGTTCGTTAATTGGCCAAAGAAAACGTTCTCAGGTGACTTACTGATTCAGACATATAGAAAACCAAAAGCTTAATTTGGAATTAAGTTGTAACAGTAATCTTTAATCATATGATAAGGAGAATGTGGAAGATTTTATTTCCCCAAAACAGACATCCTGTTGTTATAACCCATCCAAACTTGCAGTATTAAATTAAAGTCAAAAAATAAAGACATGATAGCATAGGGAGGTCAGGGTAGCCAGGGAGCCCAGCTTTTAATTGAATGTACGTCAGTGCATACAGATGAATTTGCTCATTTTCCTTCCCATTCTGCTCTCCTCTAAATAGACTAACTGCAGATCTTCCCGGAATGGCTGGAACGTTCTCCTTATGGTGAACTGTGGGCGGCACACACCCTGGGGAAGCTGGCAGACCTGGGAGTTGTTCCCGGCACTAAACGAGCTTGCCCTCCTTTCCACCTGTTTTCCTTCTTTTCTCTCATTGCCCATTGCTCAGAGCCTTTCTGGTGTGATGTCTGACCACCTCTGGAATCCTGTAGGCAGCAAGTGGCACCATATCCCTAATTTTCATGTCATCTCTTAGTCACCCAGAAATTCGTATACTTCCACACTTAAGTTGTGCATCATTGCAAAGTGATTCCCTTTTAGTTTTGTTTTACATGTATTTACATACAACAAAGATAAACTATATATAAATTTGTTGGAATTACTTTCAGTAAGTTGAGACTTGTTCAGAGATTCTTTGGTAAACTCAAATTTCTATTAACAATTAAGGTCAACAAGGCACATCTTCAATAGACAGTTTATTCATGGAGTTCCCTTTTGGACACTAAACTGACCTGATTTTTGCAGGGTGACCTGAAAGCTTACCTGCGCAACGAGCACGAGCACCTGAAGGGGGACTCGCAGACCATGCTGCTGCAGCGGATGGCGTGCGAGATCGCAGCGGGGCTGGCCGCCATGCACAAGCTGCACTTCCTGCACAGGTGGGTCCCTTGGGCGGAGGTGCACCTCACACTTACCGATGTGCAGCCCAGACAGGGTTCACGGAGGGCTTCAGGACAGGTGTCACATCCCCTCAGAGTTCATAAAACTCAGAATGGCCCAGTATCAAAATAAGGATTGAGTTGGGCTTCGTTTTAATCAGTACCAGGGAACAGATTGTTTTAATACAGCCTATGGTCTGGAAATTACTTCCAGAACTTTGCAAAATGTAAAAAATGGTATATTCCTCAATGTTAACAGTCCCAGGTTATCCTGTGACCTCTGTTGGTATGACCTTTACTTGTCACAATAGCTTTAGGCTGATCTAGTCATGAGTGTCCCCTTGTATTCTGTTCACATCTTGAGAAAGAAAAGGAGGTCTGAGGGCTAATGTTATCTGTCACCTTTTTGTATGCGATCTCAGCATTGGCTTCAGACCAGCACCCTGAGAGGCCTGCCTCCATGCCAAGGGCTTGCAGGTGGTCGAGGCACAGAGGGTGATAGAACATGTATGTGTTGAAACACTTCAGTTCCTAACTGAATAGCACTGGTTTTTGGAGTACATTGTATTTTGTTGAGAGCTTTGAGTCCTGTCTGTGAAGATGGTTCAGTGAACCCAAAAAGAAGGTTCCTGCTTATTTTCTTCTAGTCTTTTAGCTCTGGGTATATTTAAAATATTTTTCAGACCTCTCAAGAAAGTGCATAGTGTCTCTTCAGTTGGTTTTAATTAAGTCATTTAGCTCTTAACAATCCAAAGGCTTGAAAAGAAACACCCGTGTGCATTGGCGTACAGGGACATCTATGAAGTATTTTTAAAAATACAGGTTACAAAGGAATTTATTTATAGTATATATTATCCATTTTTTTAAATGAGAGAAAAAAATTGGTTATATCTGTGTGTGTGTGTGGGGGGGTTGTCTATGTGCAAGAGAGGGCAGAAGAAAGCTACCTAAGAGATTCTCAGAATTACTTCAAGGTGGAGAAAAAGAAACACTTTGATATTTCTCTTACATATCTCTATCTTGGTTGACTTGTGTAATGAACAATTATTCTAGTGAAATGCTTTTTAAAAGATGCAAAATTTTAGGTTTCTTAGGCCTAAGGCAGAATTCCTTATGCAAAATTTCAAAATATGAGTAATCTTAAGTTTCATATTTAATCTCATATATTTGTACTGTTAATCTTTTGTAAAACACAGATGATTATTACCTAATATACTTGGTTTAAGAGTTTTCAGATTTTGGAGAATGGAGTGTTCAAAAAAAGTATGTCAGTAGCATAAAGTCATCAAAGGTAGCAAAGAATTGTTTACTTCCATTTGTTTTGACTCCTATATAAAGAATTAGCAAAGATGTCAGAATGAATGTTATTTTCCTGTGAATTTTTTGGGTTAAGTTTTACTTAAAATCTTCTAAACTTAGAGCAAAAATAGATAAGTCATCTGGTTTGAATTTTATTCTGGTACAAAAATTCAAGGTTAGAAACTTCTTGAAACCTAACAACTGTTTCATTTTCTTTTAAAAAGTAGCCATATTTTATGTAAAATTTTTGTTTAGGGCAGAATTTTGTACTTTCAATTATTTTGTCGGTCATACACCATATAGTATATTTTTAAGTTGGAATTTAGAATGTATCTTTACTGACTCAAAATCAGATTTTCTGTGTTGGTTGAAAAGAGGGCAGCCCACACTGTCCAAAGAAAGCCTGTTAGCTGTGTATGGAAGCTAACCTAGTAAAGTTCCCCCAATTAGAAAGAGTGTGCTTATTGTTCAAGAGGAGACTTCCGCCTGAGTCTTAGGCAGCTTGCATTTCCCAGGCTGTGCACATGACATCTGTGAAGGCCACGTAAACAGCAGTGGCTGCCAGTTTGTTGCATTCCTGCTGTGCTGGCCAAAAGCCTGGGACTTCCTGTCCTCAGCCTGTCACTCTTCCCGAGCAGCACCAATGTGCTGCCCCCAGGTCCCTGCAGTGAACTAAGTGCAAAAGAGAGCTGTAGACAGTGTGGACGTTGTGGAGGTAGCTGGAGACCTGTGACAGTGGCTTTGAGGAATATCCAGGAGCCAGTTGTACACAAAAGAATCTCTTGAGGATTCACCGAGTTTTAAAGTTAAAGTTACCTTCTGCTGGAAACATTGAGGTTACTGAGTTATCCAGTGCACTGGGTATTGATTTATAACAGGTGTCATTTTGTATTATGTTTTCTTAAGTAGTGCCTCAGGTATCCATGCTGTGAAGTGCGTGTCTTCCTGCTAACTGACGTGTGCTGCACCTCTAGCTTGAGTGTTTCTTACAGTCAGTGAATTGTTAGGGGATTTTACTAATTGGCATATGTGTAAAATCTTAGATTATATATTTTAGAATTCCTTCTAATGTTTTCCATTTTAAAATTTGTCAGTGAAGAAAAAAATTTGTGTCTGGCAATAAATATTATACTATTGCTTTAATATTTTTGGTCATTCAAAACAAAGCCATAGGTAGCATCTGACACCTGGTGATATTAAGTGAAAAAAGACACCACTGTACTAACATCATTTTGATTTCATGATGAAAACCTAAGAATTTTCCTTAAATAGGCTTTGGAATTTGACTCTTTAAAATTCTGCACTCAACATGTGTAAACAGAGAAGAAAGAATGAGCATCTGTCATGTTACTCACCTGGTTTAGCCCTTGTTCTTCAGTTGTAAAATCTCCATAATAGTGCCGAATTCTTACTGTGTGGATTCAATGAAGCCCTAAAGCTTGCATTATAGTATCTGATCCAGTAAAAGTAGGGGAGGAAGGAGAAACAGGAAAAAAACTATGATAAATGGGGCTGGCCTTGTCTTTTAGAGTTTCTAGCTTCCTTCCCTTTTTTATTTTTGCATTTGTTTTGATATTTAATTAAGATAATTTACAATTAATTGATGAAGTCTGCAAAGTTGAATACTCTCTGTAGATGAGGTAAGGGAAGAATTGTATTTTGAATCAAGGCAAAATTCCCAGGTTATGCTCTTGCTTGCTGGGTAGTTAAAACATGTATTCACATTTGTCAGCAGCATCCTTTGTTCCAAGCTTTGCAGAGCTCTCTATGAATAGTTATTTAATACTGAGGACAGCCTTTAAGAGCCTGAGGCAGTCACTAGGTTGTAAACTCTATTTGGCAGCTGAAGGTATTGATGGTCAAAACGGTGAGCAATTTGTCTGTCTTAGCCACTAACTTGATGAACAGTTTAAGCCTGACTTGTGAGCTTGTGCGCTTACCCTTTGTATTGTTCTACACAGTGGGTGCTGCCATTAGATATCCAGTAACCATGTGTAGGCCTTTAGAAAGAGAAGTTACTTTTGTCTGGTAGAAATCAAAGCGGTGGCATTTTAGTTTTCTTTGAAGAATGGGCATAAAATGGAGAACATAGGAAATTAGGAAATTGCTAGAGAAGGAAGTAACAAGAATGTGTAAAGTGGGAGAGAAAAAAGAAAGAAGGTTTTAGGGAAATATCAAGTAGTCTAGTTTAACTGGAACAGAAGATGCATTCAGGGAAATAGTGGAAGATAAGAGTAGAGAGGTTGCCTGATGCCCCTTTATAGAGGGCCTGAGATGCAGCCTTTGGGCTTCATTTGGTCGGTAGTGGGGTCCATCACGAGACCCATGTGCACATCCATGCATCTGCTGACCACTTTTGCAGTGTGGTTTAGGATGGTTCGTGAGAGAAGGTTTTATTGACAAAACTGAATAGCAGTTTATATAGGGTCATTGTCCCTGAATGCTTTTTTATTTTCTCTTGCACATGGAAAATTTATTGAAGGCAGGGATTGCTTGAGCTTTCTCCTGTGATACGTTACACTTCAACATGAAGGGAGGCAGCAGGGAAAGGAGCCAATTTAAATGGAGTTTTAACCCCAGAGGAAATTAATAAGATAGTTAAACCGGAAAAGTAAGTAAAAGAGCTTTTATTGAAAAAGGCACCAGGTCCAGAGGATTTTGTGGTTAACCTAACTCTGTTTAACCTTTAAAGAACAGATGACACTAATTATTTGAACTATTACAGGTCATAAAGAAATTTCTATCACTTGTTTTATGAATCCATCCTCGCTTAAATAGCAAAAGATAGCATAGAAGAAAAAATATATGGTTGCTGCTCCCCAATGAATATAGATACAAATACTGGCAAATTGCATCCAGAAATATATGAAAAACAAAACAAAAAACAGATTAAGACTTTTTCTAGGAATAAGAGTGGTTGTATATCATAAAATATGCCTACATAATATATTACATTAAAACAAGTAAAAGAGAACAAAAACATTATGTCAATAGATTGCTGAAGCATCATTTAGTGTATAATTTAGAGCCATTTTATATTTAAACCTCTGAAAGGAAACTAAATACTGTTTGCCAAAACTTAATATCAGTTATCTATTTAAGCCACAAAATAATAAAGCTTTTCAGTTAAGATCAGAAACTAGACAGATGCTTATAAGTTCTGTTATTTTTCAGCATTTCTTTGGGAATTCAGTAGTAAAATGACCATAGTTTGAGATATTCTTAAATGTATTCACTTAATGACATTGTATACCTTGTATAACAGTGTCTGGCCCAGTATAAACAGAGAATGAGAAGCAGATACAATGAGCCTGGCCTTGTCTTTTAGGGCACGAGTAAATATAAATGAGAAAATTTAATCCATTAAAAGTTAAAGTGGAGAGAATAGTTTCTGTGTGCCAGGTATTGATTATAAGTATAGTGTGGATAGTAACCAGCTCTAAGAGCCAGGTGATATTCTTTTCTTCCTGTTAAAGATGGGCAAACATGATAACTTGTCAAGGTCATGCATCTGGAGAGTAGCGGAGCCATTATTCAAACCAGGTCCATAGACTCAGAGACCACATCCTCAGCAGCACCACACAGCCTTTAGGAAGAAAATCGCCTTTCTTTTCTACAGTGATGTGATTTTGTATCTTAAATACCAAAATACTATTTTTTTTAACTAAAATTAATAAGAGGACTTTTTTGTGACTTGCTCT